TTTTTACACACGCGCATGCGTAATCTAGAAGTGTGTAACGTCAGAGATGTGTAAGTGAAGATGGCGATTTCAATCAACACGATATCTGTGTAATCATGTGTCCGATAAAACCCCGTAACTGGGACACATTATTTTTTTGATATTTTTAGGGTTTAGACATGTCAATTTTTCGTTTTCAACGATAAAAAAGATTGGGGACTTAAATCAAGTCCCCAATGTTTTTTATGTCCCCATTTTACGACTTGCGTATCTGTAGCAGGTCCCCAGTATGGGGGAGCCACACACACACACACACACACACACACACACACACACACACACACACACACACACACACACACACACACACACACACACACACACACACACACACACACACACACACACACACACACACACACACACACACACACACACACACACACACACACACACACACACACACACACACACACACACACACACACACACACACACATATATATATATTTCATTGCGAAAATGGTTTTGATCTGATCATGACGCAATATTCTTATTAAAAAGACGGTATATTTTAAAATTACGCCAAAATAGACTGAAAGTTAATATTACGCAAAGGATGATGACCATCGTGTTTTACTTTAAAAAGTAGGATTAACTTATGCATTGCATTTTTTAAAATAAATAAAAACTCTTTATTGATCAATCTTTAAATTTTGATTATATATAAATAAATATTTTTGCAGACCAAACAAGCTTTATTTTCGGGTACTAGTATATGTTTATTTTCATACTGCGGAAGATATTTTTTGCTTGTTTGTAGTTTGATACTGTAAACGCGGTGAGCTTTTAAAGCCAAATTCTATTGTGCCGTCAGAAAATCCGTGATCTACTTAAATTAATAATTTAATATATTTATGTCTGCCTTTTCAAATACATTTCCATTTCTTGATTGGTAAAAAGAGATTTCTACGGAAAAACCCTTCTGGGTCAGGTTTTGTTAACAAGTGCGCAATTTACAGAAAAATCTTTTATTTTTATTCATTTCTTTAAAATAAATTAAGAATTATGACATCAATTATGCTACTTGTATCAAAATATATCAATTTTATTGATCAAACACTTGATTTGTAATGGTGTAATACTAGAATGCACACATTTACTAAAAATTTATTCGACAACTAATTGCCGATCACCTAAAAATGTGATTTATCAATTAGAACACTTTATTAAATTTTTCAATAACCATTGCATATTGTCACAGAAATTCAAATCTAAAGCACTCAGTTCTTACTAATAACTTTCAATTCAGCGTATCCTCCTTTGTTATTTATGTTTGTGTTTATCATTGGTGCATGGTCTGATACCTGTACCCTGTCATGGTGAATGAGTTCATAGTATACTGTGTTTGTAATTTTGCTTCCCGGTTTTTTGACAGCTTTATAAACAACAAGTACAGCTATCACCAAAATCACAAACAAAATTAAAGGTACAAGGTAGATGATTAGTGTGGTGGATAGACTGCTTCTGGATTCGGGTGTAGAAAAAGTATCTGAACGATTGAGCATTGAGTCTGAGGAATTTGTCTGAGGAAAGGTTACAACATTCTCCCGTATTATTCCTACTGCGAATATGTTACCTGAAACAAAAGCAAAAAATATTACAATTAAGTGCTCTAAATATATGAAACATATACTATATTTATATATTTACTAATTCATATTACCTTAAATCACTTTTCATTCTCGCATTTATTTGCATTTGTTATTTGCATTTATTTGTTTTATTAAAGATTATATACACTAAAAAAAAAAAAACAATAGGTCAAGACAATTTTGACTCGCTAATAAATTCCAAATAAGCATCTCGCGAAAAATAAGGTGTTGCGAAAATAAAGTGGTCTGCAGTAGTTCATTGATGACTGTTTTTATACAGTTGAAATGTATTTTTCTGGAATCAAGCATATCAGAAAAATTACCCAAATATTTGCGCTTTGAGGGAAGGGATTTTGTTGTGAAAACTGAACTGATAGTTAAAGAATTCTCTTCCACTGGGAATATGTCCTTGGCCAAAACTGAAAACGCAAAGGAGAGCAAATTTTATTTAATAGAATATTTTCCGAAAAAATAACAAAACATGTTTCTTGGATGATAAAGGCCACAGCTTTAATAATTGTTTCAATGACAAATGTCAGACAAGCATTTAACAATCATTGGGTGCCACACACCTAAATCGATAACGGGCGTTATGGCACCTCGCCTTCTAGGGTAATCCATAGCAAGGCGTAACAATATTTATAAATCGACTCCTAGGGTACCCCTTAGCGAGTCAGCAAATTTTATTTAATGCTGTTTTTTGTAAAATTAAGGACACAAAAATGATAAAGAAAGGTAAAGTTTTATGGCAAATACATGTACAGTATACCATCTTACATATAGCAGACGTTAAATCTGGCATGAATAAAACATTATACAAGAGGTTTTATCAAGAAAAACACGTATTTTATTTTATGCATGATTGGAGTTAAAACGTATGCAAGAAAATCAACATTTAAAAATATCTCTACATATCTATATTTCAATCAAATGACGCTTATACATGTATGATAGTTGTTATTGCTACAACGATGACGGCAATATGTAAATCGGACTTTTAAAATTTTCAGGAATAGTAATAATATATAATACTTAACGATAAAAAATGCTAAACGAGGTGCTTTATTCATACTTTAAACTAATCTTATGACATATCTTCACCTACCGCAGCCAAATGAAATGTTACAGCTCTCCTTTTTACACAGACACCTTTGTTGGCAATGCTCCCCATAATAAGGATATGGACAGGGCACATCACATTCAACTCCAGTGTATCCCACATCACATTCTATAACAATAATCATTTTTATTTGCTAAGAAAATGTAGATGGACATTTCTAAATCTTTTTATATAATTTTGTATTGATATAAAACAGATATACATTAACCTTTAAAAAGTGATTAAATTAGTTAAAAGAAATCTTGTTTTAACGTACATATAGCTTTGGTACAGATCTGATGATGAAGAAGAAGTTTTGTTTAATTTATTTTAAAGGGCATAAAAGTTTGTTGATACAGTCCTCAAGTATACTTACTCATACAAGATCTTGTAGTTTCATCCCACTTATATCCAAAACAACAACGGAATGATCTGGGAAAGTATTTTAACAATGATTATATTAGTCAATTTTGTTTCTTATATACATGTCCGATTATCTTCTTTTCTTACTAATGATTTAGGATTTCTTTTTTTTTAATTTACCTGACATATTATTAAAATAGAATAAACATTTATGTACTTTTATGTGAATTTTATATGTACATTAAACATACCCTCTGCATTGCCTTGAAACGACGTGGATAATTGATAGTAGAAGGACAAAACCCAGTAGAGTTGTCCTAGATGCCATACAAGCAGATACACAGATACATGATGTTTAACCCAACTATGCTTCAACACTTAAGTGTTTTTTTATTTTTTCAATGTAAGTAGTTATTCATGCAATCCTCTTGTAGATGTTAATAGTGCTCACTTGTTTTACTTGTTAGCAAAGTACAGGCGGAAATACAGATTTCCTGTATAACAATCTTGCATAAACTTAAGTCAAGCATGTTTTATTATACTTAAAATAATTTATCGATTTATTACATATATAGTAATGAAGACGTTTTTATTTTAGCACATTTCATGTGTCTGATGTCACAATAGTTGCATGAGTCTCTAAGACTTCAGTGTCCTATACGGATCCTAAACGACTGAAACGTATCATACAGGACTGATATATATATTTTCAGGTCAATGCGGACTTTTATTACACACTTAGTAATAAATACAGGTTTTTGGCATATGCAATACGACTGACGTCACAATAGCCGTATCAGCCCTGCACTGATATGGATTTGCAGGGCTGATACGGATCAATATCACACCCTTACTAAATTAAACCACGGAAACATTACTTGTGATCATAAACAATTTTAGGTGGGTTCATATATTCTTTAAATTTGATCTTTCTGAAAATAAGGTTAATCTCAATTTACAAACAAAAGTAATTAATTTTTTTTTTTAAATTACGCATCGAGTGCATTGAAATAGAAGTAGAAACAAACCCAAATCGTTTGAGACAATAGACCTTGTACATGTATGTAAGAAGTCCATGCATGATTATTAGCTTATTTTCTTCTCAAGTTAATGTATGCTCTATTTTATTACTAAGTATGTAATAAACATATTAATACATACCCTTTTCCACATCACTTCCTGTAGCAGCCCTAGGGCCTTCGGCCCGAGGGCTGATATTGGTGTCTCGGGCTGATGCAGGATGTGATATGGATAGGGTATGTATTATTCTCTATATAACATACCAATAACAGAGTAAACCTTACTAAATCAGTGTACAGATATTTTTCGTTCACAAACCTTGTAAAAATCTATTTCGTTCTCTTGAAAATTGATACCAGTACATGACATGTGATTATTTTTTGGTATTTGCTAATGTTGGGGTACTTTTTGTCTCCGTATATCATAAATATCATAAAAACTTGTCTGGATTATCCTCTGGTTCACAGCCTTCCGCCCTCTGGGCTTATACAGAGATTGTTATGAAAAAGTGTTTGAATTCTAATGTATACAGTTAAAAAAGATTTAGATATCTCTTCGGAACGAATATGGAAAATAACATTCATACTGGGAGTCCGGTGAGTCATAGAAATAAACAAAAGAATGTTTTTCACAGGTTTACTGAAACACAATGAGAGAGGTTAAGGAAACCTTAAAACTGTTTTGAATAAGAAAAGGACATGAAATAATTTCTTAACATGATTATCAATGAAGACATAAATTATAGATAAAACCCTTCACTTTTCCAAATCCTTGCACACTTATGGGGATCTTTAGTTTTCCTGTGCAATAGCCGGAAAGTTGACTAGTCAACAAGAAAAGGGATTGATTTGTTATAATAATCCACACACTAAAATTTACAAAGCAGTTATTTTAAGTTTGCCTGAATTATTCAGGAAACCGTGATTATCACTTAGACATGCTTGCACAAGATGTTAAGATGAACATCTATCTACCACAAAAAATCTTCCTATGTGGATATATTTTAAAAAATGAAAACAAAAAGAAATGATGCTAAGAATTTTATTTTATAGACTTTATAGCATTTCTATAGTGGACCAGGAAATGCTTTTGTTCAAATTAAATTCATAACATCTTTAAAACTGTACTCTTCTGTTCTTAAATCTGAATACAAAATCTCTATTTCTGTGTTGAAACCAGTTTATTTTCTTCGATAGCACAGATTAAAAGCTTAAAGTACCAAAAGGAAGACAAAGTAATTTAAAAAGTAAATGGTCATTCCTAACTTAAAAGGATCATAATGTATCTCAAAGGATGCATATTTTGTTTCAGATGCAAACTGACCAAAAAGTAAAACCTGGACGATTTATATCTGTTCAATAATGATAATTCTATGTTTAACTTTATATCCATTATTCCTCCATTTAAAAAAAGAAGATAAAAATGTTAGGCTGATCAAAATATCAAAATATATATTGAACTGTGTGATGTATCCTGAGAAAAGTGCATAAAACACAAATTCCCTTACATGTTATTTCTACTGTTTGTATCGGGTGCCTTGAAGAAGTAAATCTTCGTTTCGTTTAAAAACTTAAGTTTGCAAAGGAATTTTTTCAGAATTTTCTGAAAAATGTAATCAAAAGATAATTACTATAAAACGGAAAAAGACATAGTGACCCATGGGTGAAAACAATTTTGTAATTGAAAAAATCCTTTCTTTTGAAAAGTTGTGCCTACAAGTGTCACGAAAAAAAAGAGAGAATTTAATCGAAAATTGCTTTAAAATTGCTTTGTTTAAAAAAAATAGAATTTAAAAAAAATGAATCCACACAATATCCATGAAATATGAAAGTAACGGACACTTAAGTGCCTTTAAGAACAACGAATCTGTAAAATTCGTAAGCATAGCAAACAGGAACCCGTAATGAAATGCGTTCAAAGATCAATTATATAATTAAGATTTACTGTCTATACATTTCCTATGTCTTACATTTTCATTCACCGAAAAATTGATTTTTATTAACAAAAAATGATTTATTAATGCAAATTATGTGTATCTCTATAATAATTATTATATTATAACGGCAAATATTCTTTCTAATATGCAAAAAGAAAACAAAAGGCAGTTATTGAAAATTATTACAAAATGTATCCTGGAATATTTTTTTATTTAACATTTCATCAATAAATAGAATTCTTCTTACGATTTTACCTTAAAATGACATAAAGTTGATAACTACTATTACGAAAAGCATAAGCATTGCAGCCGTAACACCAGCAATGGTGGCAGTTGAATTCTTAGGATCATATCTGAAATCAAAACTAAATTATTTTAAAAAGAAATGTAAGAGGAAATCTTGATATCCATACCACCATACTTTCAAATGAATCTTAATATGGAGATAACAAACAGTTAACTTTGATTTCAAACTAATAAGGTAATTTCTCTATAATCTCACATCATAATTTGCAATATGTTATTAAAACATTAATCAGTTATCCTGTAAACACATATCAGAAAAGGACAAAAAAGGACAACAAGAATTTTAAAGATCGAGTAATATATATATGTGATTTGAAACTAAACAAAATTACTTACACCTGCTTTTGAGATTGTTCTGTACATGTATTATTTGTTTCGTAGCATATTGAATCTAAAGTAAACAGATAAAATCCATTAAACGTTACGATGTACATGAACTTTTGAATAAATAACGATATAGGTATCAAAAAACTGTAAAAACTCTCAAAACCTTATTTCACTCCAAAAACACCATTTCGATATTTTTCATTCTTAAATGAGAAATATTTGCTTAAGAAGGTGCCTGTCTTTCACTGCAAAAATGATTTTCCTCAAATAACTCTGACAAGCCACATATACACTTTAGTGCGTATGTGTATGATTTATTTAGGAGGGGAGGAACTTTAGCGTTCAAAATTATTTTTGAAGAATGCATGAAATTTTCTTAATGCAAAATTTATGAGGACATTTTCGAGGTAATATATATTTTTTTCAATTTACACAGCGTGTATATATTAGCAACAGATTACATACAAAAAGGATATGGAGATAACATACAGAATTCATTATCAAAGTCCATTAAACAATAAAAAATAGGAGCAGAGCAAACACGGACCTCCGAAGCATCAGAGGTGTGCTCAGGTGCCATGGAGGAGTGAACACCCCCTACTGACCGGTCACACCCGCCGTGTGCTCCTTGTTATGATCGGGAAATAACGGAAAAAATCCGTCGTCAATTCAGTGTATAAATAATGGACTAACAATTAGTATGAAAATCGTCATTCAGCATTTGACTCAATAACACATTGTTTTTGCTGACATGGTCATTATATCGACCATAGAACTTACGAAATGATGACTTTAAACAAGACAGCTGAAAATCTTGTTTCATCAACTCGTTTGTCAAAAATTTACCTCGTTTTAGAAATTGTTCATATGTAGAGCATGCTATTGCGTATTTTATAAAAATACAACTTACATTCAAATGTTTCATTAGACAGGTAAGGAGGGGAACATGGATTTAATGAAGCCGCACAATCCCTTAACCAAGAGGGTTGAATAATTTCCCCTAAAGTATTCCATTCCGTGCATACACCATCTACATGTATATCAAAACGTAATAAAAATAAAACATAATTCTTATCATTAAATTTTTACAAATGAAAAATACTGCTAAAAAATTAAAATTAAAACTTATTATAAAAGTGTAGAATTAAACTTACAAAGATTTCTGAATATGGCAGCACAAACTTCTACAAAAACACCAACATCTTCGGTTGGTACACAATGGTATTCGAGACTTTTTGTACAGTTGTGTTCAATTGTCCAGCACTCTTTTTCAGCTGCAGCCCTTCTCCACTCCATCTCGTTTTTCGGACAGCATGATACATTTGTGACCGTCTGTGCTGAAGTTGCACAGTGATAGATTGAATTTACGACCTGAGAAGAAATTTAATTATCTGCTATCATTGAATCAAACAAATTTAAAACAATAGGAGTTTGTAAAACACTTAGCGCCCGGCGGCAACAAAGTTCCAAAAATTTATATTTAGAATATAGGTCACAGTCAAGGTCACAAGATCATTGGCATTGGTGTCATTTGAACAAACTTAATTAGTTGAGCATAATATAAAATATAAAGTCTCTGTCATCAATGGTACAAAAGCTATAGTGAAAGTTTATTAAAAGTTATTTTCTATTTATAGCATACAGGTCACAGTCAAGGTCACAAGGTCATTGACCTTGGTGTCATTTGAAAGAACTTAATTAGTGGAGCATGTATATTAAATAAGAAGTCTATATCTCTCATGGTTCAAAAGTTATGGCGAAGATCAAAGTTGACAACAGACAGACAGACAAACACATAGGACAAAAACAAAATACGACTTGGATCTATAATCCAGGTACATAAAAATGATAATTTGCATATATCTATAAACTATCCAGATATTAATACACATACCTTGAAACATAAAGCATAAGTAACCAAGAAAATAGGCAAATGCATCGACTGAATTTTAACACTGAAAAAAAAGATACATGTAGTTATAAATAAGTTCTAAAAGAGAGGAAGATAAATTACTATAAACACCAGGAAAAACTTTCATTGACTGTCAATGATTTAAATATTTTGAAAATAAAAATTAGGTGACTTCAAATATTAATATATTGCAGATATATCATATATACACTGTAAATCATGTATTTTCTTGGATAGAGACCGTTTCCCATTCATAGGCTTAAGACCCTTCTAAATTTTTAGCGTATATAGAAAACGAACGACAATAAATTCCCATCTATGACAAAATCTGTGTAAAATAGACAATTTTTCAGTATAGTCGAACGTTGCAAAGTATACCATAATAAAATGAGAGCTGCACACCTCGTCCGCAATTGTTCATTGTAAAAATAGAGAATTCACTGAAGATGCACATTTTAAAGTTGATGTGTTAATGTTACATGTATCATAAGTAAAATTAACCTCACTCAATAATTAAAATCTATATGTACACTTTTCAGATCTTTCATCGTTATCATTAAGAACATATCGGAAAATTTAAAACAGCATACCTACTTGTACGTATACATGAACACAAAAGATATATGGCTGTGTAATACTGAACATACAACAAGGCGAACACTGAGTACAAGCATGTGTTTCATGCGCAATGAGCATCTATAATAAAGAGGAAGTCATTTAAAGTCTACATACTTGCTGACCTCCGACATGTAAAAATCTGGTCATGACCAGATTATCTGGTCATAACGCGTAACGACTTCACGAGATATTTACTATGATTGAATTTTACATATGATTATTATATATATAAGTATTTTTGTATTGAGTATTCTTTTATTTAAAAAAGGCTTTAACTTACAAAGACAAAAATGAATATATGTTTAATTGTTGATTAAATTTAGATGTTAAAAAAGGGCATTGAAGGTTTATTATTCAATACTGACATGAATTAAGAGTGCATTTTTTTTTTAAAGAAAGCCTTTTCAGTTTATTTTGTGTTAAATTTGAAAGTATACAAGTTTTGGTTTTTGAAGTAAATTTTTTCTCTCTTAATTAATTTAATATACAAGTGCAATATGTATTAGATGTATAGATAGGCTTACACTATCTTCGATCAGTTTAATTTATTGTATGACAGTTGTTTTCCAAGATTCCTTAATTGATATGTACATAGATATTCTTTCTCTTTTTTTTCTAATTAAGTTAATTTTGTGTATTTATTTTTCTCAAAATGCTAACTTCAAAATTTTACCTTATTCCTGAATGATATATTGGGTAAATTTGAATGAAAAAGCACACGATTTGCAGTCTGAATTCAGACTAAAATGTTAACTATTATTTTTTTACCGGAGAGTTCAGATATTTTGATTATGAGAATTGCTTTTACCAAATATTCCATTATAATTGTAAACCCTACATGTATACACATGCCATTTTAGAATTCACGCGGTACAAGTAAACAGATCTAAGTTGTTCGACCCTTGATTTTCCGGCAGATTCTAATTACGTTCATTTTGCAGAAGGAGAGAATATTTATTTTTCTCAAAATGCTTACTTCAACTTTTTACCTTATTCCTGAATGAGATATTGGGTAAATTTGAATGAAAAAAACACACGATTTGCAGCCGTATTACCGCTTTCAATTTTGGCTTTTCTTAATTGTGCCTCCTTTGATTTTTAAAATATTAGTCTTGACATCTTGTTGGTGCAGAACAATGTCACAAGTTTAATTCTTACACCACAGGGAAATGAAGACATATCCTCTGCATTAAAGAGATTTTTGTATTACACTTGTGTTGATCGAACACGTGTTTTATTTATTTATACTGGAAACCAAATTCCATTGGTTAGTTATTTCAGAAATAGAACCTGATTAACAGGTAATTTACGCGACACCCTATCACCTGTATAACAAATAAACCCCATTCGAAGGCTCTCTCTTCGTGCAGTATAGACGTGGCGCCCACCCACCAATCCTCACAGCGTTTTATATTATAACTTTATACAATATTTTCTTCGTTATTTTCAGCTAAGTACTCTATACATTCTTCTGTCAATGTATCTCTTTCACAACTTTAAAAATTGCTTTCTCGAAACTTTTAGCGTTATAACTTATGGAATAACTTTCTGGAAGCACAAAGTGATAATTTTCCAACAAACAATTACATTAGGGGACTGACTGAGGTTTTAATGTATGAATATTACAATAGAGAAACTCTTTAATTTTACACCATATATAATTTATATTGACTTCAGTGTACATGCCAAGTTTGGGGAAATCTCAATCCAGGTATTTTTAAAGGACCGTCTCAAAATACAGGAACATTTACCATAGGATTAAATGGGAAAATGCCAATTTTGCACACTTTAAAGAAAATTAACCAAAAATACTACGATATACGTATAGCTCAAACTAAAATATTTGATGTGTAATATCATTAGATGTAAGAACCTCAAAATTCTACCGCCTTGTTTCCAGAGGTGGGCATCTCAAAATGCCAGAAAATATCAATTTCCTTGTTTTAATATAGAGTACTACAAAATAAGTTGATTGTATAAAAAAAAGTTATTAAAATTATGGAGATGATCGATTTCTATGTTTTAAATTTCAGGAGCATATATTTGCTTTTTTTTTCTTATTACCCCTTCTTTACGAGCGTCTAGTTATCTAACGTAAAAAACACAAGATTATAGCGGCAATCTACCTGTCAGTTAAAAATTCGTTTTAAAAATCAGTTACTGGTAACTTATTTAAAATTGTAATAAAATTTTTCAACTTGTAATTTGCTAATTTGGTTTAGTTTCATTAAGTGAAAAAAGTTGCTTTAAAAAGTATATGCACTTCAATTTACTATGATGTTCGAAATACAATTGCATAATGGAAACCCCAGTCGGTCCCCTAAAAAGAGATTTAGATATACTTTAAACGTATCATTGCTTCATAAACCTGAGAAAACAAATAAAATATAATGATTGAAAAAAAATAATTAAAAAAATTAAAATTACAATACGGCGGATCTCTTCAAAAACAGACTTGTTAAAATTTTCCTATAGGATTTGGAATTTTTTTCATACTCATAAATGTATACACTTTCAGAAAATTACAAATTTCATAAGTTAATCTTTCTGATTATTTCATAAAAATTAATAATTATTTATGGTCCATAAATATATACATCGCAACGTGTTCTAGGTTTCACATTCCATGCTATTCACCCATAAGTATAGTTTTCATAAACAAAACAGCATGGTAAGAGATGGAAGCCCGGTAGGCCTGATACATTGACAAAGTCGACCAAAACGAAAACAAAACCAAAAATAGGGCTTGAAATTAAAAAAGCAACTTTCCTGACAAAAATCTAGTTGGGAGATTAATATAAACATTGGATGAAAAAGAAACTGGATCTCGGCGACATTCACGTGGCGATCGCGAAGGTTCTACTCTACAGGTTTGTTGATACATTCTATCATTTCTCATATCTCCATGGTTTTCAAAGATAAAAAAAATCAGTGAAATCTCAACATAAAAATACACTTATGACATATAAAATTATTGCCATTAGAAGTAAAAATTGTATTGAAACTGCAGAAAGATATTTTGTTTGACATTTTGCCGCGATGACATATGATTTGGTAAATTTTCCTTTCCTGCACCCCAATACACAAAACGTCAACATTTGTACTCAGTCATGTTAAATTCGTCTGAATGCATCACAAGCATAATTTCATTTTTGTACATGTGCGACATCAAATATAAAATAGCTTCCGGGTTTAGAATTCATATTCTTTATATTTTATCAACCTGTAAATGCATATTAAGTTTAAATTCTTATTTTGTATCAGATAACAGCAAAATGGTAAACATCTTTATACTTACTGACACAAGATCCATTACTTTCATCCCACTTCTGGCCAGCACAGCATTTGAAAGGTCAACAGGAAACAATACCATTCCATTCAGCCATTGTTAAATAAACAACCATAAAAAAATTATTTCTATGTTTTCTATGATTTCTATGTTTTAAGTGTGCATGTAAAATAAATACATTTTCCGTGAAACTTAACTTTTTTGCCTCTTATTTTCATTCAGAAAGACATATCGTATACCCTGTGCATTGAGTTATAACGATGTCCAAATTGAAAAAACATGAAAAATTCCAGAAAAAGATCTTTCATCATTCATAAAACATCACATGGAAAATATAGCCTTTCCACTGTAATATTTTGAAGTCTGATTAGAAATCGAGTATTGGCAGTTTCTGGGACAAATGTGCTGGAAGAGTGAAACTAATATGATTTGTGCTGTACAGATAATTGCAGATACAAGCTATTAACTGATTAAGCACAATTAATAGTTTATCAGGTATATATACATTATTAGAATTCTCAAAGTCACATTTTAAATTTAATTCTTCTAATAGTCTATGACCAACATTTTAAACTATACAGATAATTGTTAATTTGATCAACAACAAATCCAAATTGAAGAGCTTGAGAGTTTACACTAAAACACATTTTTGCATTCATATTGAAATTTCTTAGTTTGTATAACCTTACCAAGGAGACTGAGTTCGTTTTTTTTTTTTGTTTTTTCTTTTTGTTTTTTTTGTTTTTTGCTCAGTGCAGATGAAATAAGAACACTTATGTAAGAATGAATAACGTGATTTATTTAGAAAATGAAACAAAGATATATACAAAAAAGAGGGTCATTCATAAACATATAACCATAGTAATAATACATGTGTTGTTGAACACAATCATGAACCCTTGTAATACTACAGATGCAAATAAATATTAATTTATATTTAGATTTATTTATTTATTGATAAGACACAACATACATGTATTATATATATATTTAAGAAAAGGTAAAAAGAAAACACAAAAATCCTCGGTTAAGCTTTAGCGCTTTCATATTCAATCTTCAGAAGCTAATTTTTTAAATTTTGGATATATATATATATATATATATATATATATATATATATATATATATATATATATATATATATATATATATATATATATATATATATATATAAATATTTCACATCAAACAAAAATATATACAAAACAGATGGTCATTCATAATCAAGTAACCATATATATATATAAATATGTGATAATTTTATGCATAAACGCCTTCGGCGTTTATGCAAATTATCACAAAAGCCAATCCATTGATCACTTCATGAATTCGAAAAATAAGACAGTTATTCCTTAAATAAACACATCATGCAAAATAATAATTAAACAATCTTTTACCTTTTTCATAAAAACAAAAAATAATTTTAGATCGTACAATTAATTTTTCACATCAAACAAAAATATATACAAAACAGATGGTCATTCATAATCAAGTAACCATAGTAATAATACATGTGTTGTTGAATACAGTCATGAACTCTTGTAATACTACATACCCAAATAAATATTTACACAATTCAAGACATATGGGGGCCAAGGGCTAGAGATATTATACAACATATGCACAAATATCACTGAAAAAACAAATTTCAACGAAAATAGTTTGATTTGAAAACTGTCATTCATTTAAGAAATAAGGTATCATTTTTTTGAGTTTTATTGAGATGTAAAACGGGTTGGTCACGTGATCAAATCCCATAAAGCCGGAAGGGCTTTATGGAAGATTTGATCATGTGCCAGCCCGTTTTACATCTTAATAAAACTCAAAAAATAATACCTTATTACTTATATTTACATTTGTGACTTATTCATACATTATATTTGCCTGATTTTTACTTTATACGTGTGAAATCCGTTGTTTTTCAAACCCAACGGCATGTATGTTATCCACTAAATGCGCGTCGACCCTTTATGACGTCACAGAGAAATTACGTCGAACGTTTATCCAAACGCACATCTATGACCTCTTGACCCCGTACCTGTATTTACACAGTTATTAAAACGCTTGTCTTCAGTAGTGTTATATAAAGTGAAACGTTTGCAAATGTCAATATTTAAATTTAATAAATGATAAAACACATCATGCAAATTACTAATTAAAAAAATGACGAGCATTACACAATCATAAAAACATATGGATAAAATTATATATTATGTTAAGCCAAGTATCAAGGATGAGGCATAAAAAATCGTCCCATCCGAAATTGTCTCGGAGTTATTAATCTTTAACCTATTCACAAAAGCAAAATACAATTTTAAATCGTACAATTAATTTTTCACATCGAACATGGCAAGTAAACAAAAGTAAAAAGCTTTTGAGTGGAACGGTGGGTAAAAAAAATAAATATGACTGGAGAATGTATGTTAAAAAAGTAAATGCATGCTGGAAGAATGGAGGCGTTCGAAAAATAGCTGACAAAATATTACTGGTATCAGATAACAGGAATACAAACTGGACGAAGAAAGATATCAGAGTTGTTCTTTTACATAGATTAATTTTTTGCTTTAAATTAAGATTTTAACCCAATTGCTTAGCAGATATATCAATTGGAAAAATGAAAAGTATAGGACAATGTCTACATTTTTTTTCCATTGTTCAATTGTAAGTAAAACATATGTTTAATACAATGACCTAAATATACATGTACATGCGTATTTTGAAAATCTTGAACTTGCACTAGGAACGGATAGACAAAGTTTCCGTGTAAAAGTCAAATTTCAGATTTTTTTTAAATGTAAAACTGTTGCCTTTTCTCTTTAGAAAATGTTTGAATTTTTTACAAAATAGAAAATAAAGATTTCATGCACAATTCATGAGAAAACGTATTAAAAAGGACAAATTATTTAGTATTTCAACAAAATAAGTGGTAAACCTGTTCACTAAAAAACTGAATTTGATGAAGTGTCAGAAATTACAATATTAACCTCCTTTTGTATATCATAACATATAATTCACAATTTTGAAGGTAAAAATACTCTCATCAGTTATTTTTTTTTTTTTTGAATACTGTACACTGGTTTATTTTCACCCCTTTCGCCCTTGTCACATGTTGGCGAATTTAAAACAGACAGAATTCGATAAAACACTATATGATCTCGTAAACAGAACTATGATGGGCGAATTTAAAAGAAGCCAAATCGTTAGCAAAAGTAAATGGGCGATAATAACTCGGGACGAAAATAACCTTGTGTACAGTGATCTCAATATTAGAGCGCTAATCTTAAGTCAAGTTCCTTTTAACACAATTATACCACTTCAGTGTAACATTCATCGTTTCCTCTTAGTTTTGAGTAAATCACCTCAGGTATTTGTGGTGTCTTTATTTCTGCTCCAATTTCAGTGTAGATAGAACTTTCAGCATTTCCTTTGCGTACTTTGAGAGCCTTGTATACACCATATATACCAATCATCAGGATCACAAGTAGTCCCAGAAGAATGGAGGAAACAATAGTCACGTTAGACAGAATGGTCTGAGATTTGGGTTTACCAGAGAAATTACCACATAGATTAATTTTCATCATAGTAATATTCTCCTCTGCTGTTTCTACAGGGGGTTTGGCTTCGGTAATGTCTGAAAACATAATTTATTAACTAATTAGCTTAAAGAACAGTAAATTGTTAAAGTATATTATTCCATTTATTGGAATTTGTTAAAGTAAATGGTATATTGAAAACATGTTTACATAGAAAAATACATGTATCTCGAAGAGGTAATTAAAAGGTATTTACATTTATCAGAGATACTCGTACGTAAAACATTGAAGTTTGAGGTAGTAAATATTGCAGAGAACTCTGATGTAAAATTCTCAGTAGTTGTTTCAATTGGGAATGTAGCATCGTTCATATCTGGAAACTCAATGGGATTATTTTAAATTAAAATTAAATTAAATTAAAATATTCAATTTTCTTTCACTTCACGGTCTTTAAACTTTTTTGAAAACCCTCGTTTATTAAGTAAGCAAGTACCTGCATGTTTGACTTTTGCGGCATTAAGATTCCTTGCAAGCGCTGAACTAACGCTCTCAGAAGCCTTTTCTACTACTGATCTGTCTGTAGTCGTACCTGAAACTGAAACGTAACAAAACTATTCTTGAAATTATCAACTGCATAAATAAACAGGTTAAGTCATTTGGTACATTTCCAGAACCTTAACGCGCATGAATAAATCCAGACAATTTGGCCTGGAACCTAAATCTCCACATTAATCAGGCTTAACTGGGTCTAGAAAATAAAGTCAAATTCTGGGACAAATACCTTTAAGAAACGGAGAAATCTTTACAAAAAAATTAACCCACCACATCCGAGAGCAATGTTACATTTCTCCTTGGTACATTGGCATCTCTTTTGACAATGAACACCATAATAAGGATATGGACAAGTCATGCGACATCCAATGCCTGTGTAACCTACACTGCATACTTAAAATAAAAAAAGCTTGAATTATATAAACTGGGTATACTTATTATATAGAAATAAGTAAGCATCATTTCCGATGATACTATATATACATGTATATTCTTTATCATCGGATATGATGCTTACTTGTTTTAATTGTTACAAAGAAATTCACTTAATTACAAGATAATTTGGTGTGGTTAAATAATTAAAACTAATTTAGCTTCAAGTATGATAATAGTTTTTATTCAATAATAAGAACCACTGGAGATGATCATATTTCATATGATCTAGTCAAGACATGTGCAATTGTATTGACACAATAGTCATATTTTTTCAACAAACATAATGAAAAGTGATGCAATGAAATTTCTTTTCTTATCTTTTAGATTAAAATGTTGGGTGAAACCAAATCAACATATTTATCAAAGAGCATGATATGATATCAAAAATTTATATACTAGTATGTCCCTTTTATGGTGAAAAATATTCAAGTATCTCTTTTAGATACTTGCTCAATATTCTTTGGTCCACACCATTTCATTACCTATACAAAATCATGAACATTGTACAGAAATACTGATTTGTGTACATATTTACTTACCAATACAAGATCTTAATGTCTCACTCCACTTATATCCGAAACAGCAACGGAACGATCTGGAAAGATGCATTCGAATTATTAATTAATTATTAATTAATAATGAAAGTTTAATGAAAATAGTAAACTATTCTTGTTTCGAGACAAATTCAAGATTTATGTTAAATAAAAATTTCAAAACACATTTAAAACAAAATTTAATGGAAAAGATAATGTTCTTTTATTTAATGATCCATATATTTTAATTCATCTTTAAAAATAAGTATACCCTCTGCATTGCCTCGAGTCCACGTTCCAGATACATGTAATGAATAGTAAAAAATCCAAAGACAATATTGTTTTCTCCATTGCAATGCAGTTATGTATATTTACTGTTGTACATACATATACAGTTGGAAATAGCTGAAATAGTATTGAACGCTAGCTTTCTTTTTCACGCTGTTTTAAGTAGACTGATGCTGTTCTCTTGTGACCTTTTACATTGTGATCACACATTTAAACTGACTAATAAGTAAAATCGGAAATGCATGCGCGACGAATACAAAAGTTCTTTACTTAATATTTCTTATGTTATTTTAATCTTAAAATTCTTTAATTGGTGTCTGTATAGATATTCCGTTATCTTGAAATAATAGTTTAAAGAGAGGGAAACAAATCAAGCAAACGTAGTTTTAAACGTCTTCTGAACACCGAAAAAAAACGAATCAATGGGTATAAAAGTACATTGAATAATATGGTTTCACACCTAAATGTAAGCTGAAGGAGAAGGAAGCCCCCCCCCCCCCCCCGAAAAAAAAAATCAAAAATATTTTTGCGTCAGTTAAAAGATCAAAAACTCTGTGCCCTTAGGTACCATGAATTGAACAACTAATGATTAACAAGAAGCTATAGTACTGTATTGTCCGTCAGCCATTTTTCCTTTATTTATATGTCTTTCTGTTTATCATTTCAACACTTTTGTTTCTCATTGTAACACACAACAAAATCCACTTTAGAAATAATAACTGTAAATTAATTTGATGTTTGTTTATCGATAAGCTAATTACACAGTTAAAAAAGAAATATTTTGGATGTAAATTTTAAAAAAAAATGTATGTAAAATGTAATATTCTCATTGACCCCTTAAGTCATTGTACAATTTTAAAGTATGCCAAAATTATCCAAGAATATGTAAATAATAAATTTATATAAGTTGTTTAATATAAGACTTAAATGCTTTAAGTCAGTATTTTTCATTCTTAGTGTCCAGTAAGGTTTTAACATCATTTTGTTCAGATTTTGAATCATTCTTCCGTAGTAATTATTTTTAAACCAGAAATATGCCCATTGGACATGAATGCCTCGCCGAGGGTATATAGGTAATGCAGAAGGAAAATTTGTATTAGTGTATGACATTTTATAAGAATATCTTAAATAGTGACTTAGTTGAATTGCTAACTTCAGTTTGTATCAGTATATGAAGTTTGACACTAATTTAGGAAAAGTGAGGTCAAGATCAAAGGAAAGGGCAATGTCAAAAATGTTGAAGCAATTGAATAGTTCTCAGCAATATGTATCACCATATGAAGTTAAAAACTAGAGGAACTGTGAGCAATGAGCTCACTAAATGATACCCCCCGCTTCCCATATGAATAAAATGGCAGTGTCCATGTTTTGCTCTGGAAAATCCAAAATATATGTTGGATCAAAAAGTAAAATAGGAGGTGCACAATGGCAATATGTATTAAGATTCTGTGAAAGTTTCATTAATTTCCTTCAGTGGTATGAGAGGAGCTGCGGATAATAGAGGGGTACCCCAAAGCGTAACAGTCGGACGTACAGACGGACGGACATAACGATTACTATATACCCTCCCACTTTTCAAGTGGGGAGTACTATGAAATGTATACATTATGGACAAAGTGAATCAAATGAAAGTTCATTAATAATATGAATTTACATCTTTAATGAAATTGCTCATTTGAATTACAATCAATCATATAATCTTTCCTATCATAAGAGAAATACTATAATAATATGGATTTATGTCTTTAATTAAACTTTTTTTTTTAAAATTACAATCAATCAACATATGTAACCTTTGCCATCGAAAGAGAAGAAAGGAAAGGTTATGTGCAAGTGAATGGAACTTATCTGTATATTATATATTTTGTACATAATGAGGTGATATGATAGAAGTCATCATTAATCACTAGGAATTAATTTGAATCTAAGAATTTGATGTTTCACACTTAAGGAGGCTTGGGGGTCAACAAATTAACCATAAGATACAACTCCAAGTTTAAGATATGATATCTTTAAGCTGTCAACTATCATTTGGAAAATAAAAAAAAAAGTTTTAGTTTTTAAAATTTGATCATTTTTATATGTTATGCAAACTTGGTACAAAGCATTCTTGGGTAATAGGGAGTTTAAATTCTTGAATTAAAGTGTCAAGCTCTGTTACAAGGGTAGATAATCAAGAGATGACAAAAATAAGGTGGGGTCATTAAAAAATCTTCTCAAGAACCACTGGGCCAGAAAAGCTGAAAGTTATTTTGAAGCATTCTGATGCAGTATAGATTCTCAATTGTCAAAATTATGACCCCCAGGGGTAGGGTGGGCCCACATCAAGGAATCAGAATTTTGCATTTAAATAAACATGTATTGGGAAAAATCTTTATATATCTTCTCAAGAATCAATAGGTCAGAAAAGCTGATACTAAATTACATGGGAGTATCCTGGGGTGGTGCAGATTCTGAATTGTTAAAATCACAACTTTTTGGGTGGGTAGGGGTGTGGGTGGGGTGAGGACTGATAGGGCATGACCACAATAAGTATTATATACAGAGGGAAATCTGGTAAAGATTAGCATCACCAAAGTTTCAAAGGTGAGCAAGGTGTATTTTTTCTACTTTTATGTAAAATTTTGCTGAAATTTGCCAAGATCAATGTAACTTAATGAGTTTACATAACAAAAAGGTTATTTTTATGAACAGTATGATACTTACAAATGTATTTGCAATACATGAATTGAAAGTTCTAAAATAAGACTCCTTAAAGAGTCACTAGCATAGAAACCATTTGAAAAATTCTTTAAATCCTATCAAAATCTGAATGTGTAATTTTACAATAGTCTAATAAGCCATATTTCAAACTACTAGAGCAAAAATTGTGTGGTCAAATTTGTATATTATAATATTTGTATCCTAGAACAAAATATCAAAGTTTCACAAAATCCAAAATGAGAGGAAAAAATTGGCTTATCTATTGTGCTCTACATTAAGATTCCTTTAAAAGAAATAAATACATATATCTCTTTAAGTAGTGTTGAAAATGTCTTAATGAAATATAAATCTATAAATGATGATCAATTAGAGTCCATTTTTATCGAGGAAAAATTATCTGCACAAAGGAATGCTGAGAAAAATAAGTTGGCTGCACTGTCTTGTATACATCTGTAGGAATGGCGAAATTGCAGTACATATGGTCTAAAAGGGATCCTGAGATATGTGTTGGACTGTCAATGATCTGTTGGAAGCCATAGGATGCAAAGAATGTTTCCAATAGTTTCTGCGATGGTGACTCTTGAAGGAGATTTACATTGAAATCTCCAGAAATAAGAGTTGGTATGTTTAGATGAGGAATGTTTTTCATAACATTGTCCATGTGGGTTAGGTAAATGTCTAATGTTTGATTTGGAGGTCTGTATGTGACAACGAAACAGAATCTCAAAGATGAATTCCTGTTAAATAATACAAGAGCAATGCACTCAACAGGTATATGACAGATCTGACAAATAAATTCTACACAATAATGATCACTAACATACACAGCTACACCTCCATGAGCAGAATGCTGTGTTCTAGATGTTGGAGGAGTTGTATTTTCCAAGGTGTGGTGTCTGTCTTTGCGGAAGATATGGTGATTTTTCCAACCATAATCACTGTCGCTGTCAGACGGCATTAAGAATGTCTCCGTAACTCCTAAAATATGAGCAGATCTGGCAGATGGATGGTTGATAACATCAACGAAATGTCTGTGCAATGATTGTGCATTGACTGCTGATATGCTGATCATCGAGTTGGAATCTGGTAGATATGATAGGGTATCAGGAGGAAAGAACTTCATGGAGTTCATGAGCCTTTCCATTTCAGCAATGGTCTTGGCACTGGTTTTGATTTTTTGGCTGTCAAAATTCACAAGATACAGGCCATTCAATGATTTTACTCTACTTAAAGCAACATAGAGCTGTCCTGGCTGGAACTGGCCATTGCAGTGTATAACAATGCTGTTCAATGTCTCTCCTTGCACCTTATGAATAGTGGTTGCCCAAGCGAGCGTGAGAGGAAACTGAAACCGGACTGCATGCACAGTTGAGTGTTTGCCTAACTGCACTTGAACCTGTTGTCGAACAATAGGTACAACTGTTGACTGATGCTGAAGAAGGCGTCCGTATAAAATCCTGGTCTGATGTCCAATATTTGGGTTGTCAAATTCAATAAGAATAAAATTTGGTGTGTAGTTGTCATCTGCAGTAGTTGGCGGTGTTGGTATGAATCCTTTCACTGTTCCTTTAGCTCCATTTACCAAACCATCAGCTGTACTAACATTGTATGTCAGCATGATTCTAGCTCCTACAGCTAAATGAAGAGTTGAGCGTAAGCCTCCTGTTTCTGTTGCCTTATCTGAGAGATTTACAGCAATGGCACCTGTTGTAACATCCTTCTTTGAGTCTTGTGCTCTCACAACAAATTTTGAGGTTGAAAGTGATTCCAGTTTCTTGTTGTTGTAACTGTCTACTGCTTTGTTTGTGGTGTAAACATGGAGGATGTCTTCAGGAGGGTCATTTGTTTCCCTTGTACACAGTGTCCATACATCATCATTTGTGTGCTGTCCACTTCTTACACGGTTCAACAATCTGGCAAAAGATAAGTCATCTCTCTGTCTCATGATCTGTTGAAGTTCTACAACTTTAAAATGATTCTTCCATAGAGATCCATATAATCTTGCTATCTCGTCAGAAGGTTGATCAAAAAGAGCTCGCTGTGCAGGTGGAGGTAGTTGAAATAAATCTCCAAAGGTGAAAATGCTGAGTCCTCCAAATATTTCAGAACTCCCTGTGATTTCTTGAAGACGGCGGTGTAGGAACAGAAGCATGTCAGCGCTTACCATTGATATTTCATCTATAATAATGACCTTCAGTGAACTAAGTTTGCATCTGAGTGTGTTCAATTTTTCTTGTGAGAGAGGCTTATATGTTGAAAACCCCTTCATTACAGGCAACAGAAAAGCAGAGTGTAAGGTCATGCCAAACACATTAAAAGCTGCTGTGCCCGTAGGAGCTGCTGTAAGGACTGTTATTTCATCTGAGGTTTCTGTGACAGGTCGGAGTAGACGGAAAGCTGATTCTTGAATGGTTTTAATGAGATGAGACTTGCCAGTTCCTGCTCCGCCGCTGACAAATATGTGAAAAGCATCAGGTTTTGGAGGCATCTTTTTACTTTGACATAACCTGGTACACCATGTGACAAAGAAATTGTGAACCAGAGTCTGCTCCTCATTCAGCGAGTGGATATGCTCTCTCCACTGGTGGTCTGTCAACCTGGAAGCTAGTACTTCATAAATGACTTGGGGAGATTCAAGTGATGGGTCTCCATTGGGAACTCTGTTTCTTCCTGGATCCATAAAATCAGCATTTTCATCATCCATAGAACCTTCTCTAGCAGCATCAAGGTTTGCTTGCACTGTTTCTGGGGCCAGATGACCCCATGCATCAGGATCAGGAGGACCATTTTCTTCAATGTCATCTAGTGCTTCTTCTATTAACTGTGCATGTTTTTCAAATCTCAGCATCATAGCGTTGATTTGTTCAGTGTACATTGTCAATTTTTTCTGGAAAAAATCTCCTTCAAATTCACAAGGTCCAATGTCTTTTTCCTCGTTTCTCCATGGGACATATAGCAACAATAATGCATAGGAATACTTCTCAGGATTCTTTTTCTGTGAGACCTTGTGTGTTCGTATGACTGCTGTCTTTTTTCTCCTCACCATTTTTTTTCCATCTGTTAATGTGATGTAGTGTGGGGATTCCAGGTCATCCGCTATACCAATCACCTCTGGATTTGTGTCCTCAGAATCAAAATTTGAGTAGGATGTTGTGTATGTTACAGCAAATTCTGCTAAGCATATGTCTGACAGATAAAGTGGTCGCATAGAGTATTTGTCAAGAAGACCAACTTGATAGATATCTTCATCATCATCTTCCATTTGTTCTATGACAGCTCTGGGTTTCAATAATTTCACTCTCTCTGTAGGTGGATTAGTTGAAACAAATATTCTTTGCCTGTCAAAATAGCACAATGGAAGTGACAACACTCGAAAAGTCGCCTCTTGAGCACTGACTTCTCTATGGGTCAGGAACTTGCTTGCTACAGTTCTTAGCTGTCGTGTAATATCCATGTTAGAACACTCCTTACTAATAGACTTCAGGAGATCTCCTAACGTTCTCTCTGCTTTGCTTATATATGAAGCAATATACATGATGCATGCATATGGGTTGCAGACAAGTTGGATGTCCATATTGGCCTTCCATAGTTTAAGAAGTGTAGGGTTGTAGTTGTTTACATACTTCTGGCTGGGTTGTCGTTTCATAATAATAGCATCTGTTTTTCTGCACTGAGAGAGTGCAGAATAGTAAAGTTTTTCTGGAAGTCCGATTTCTTTCAGTAGATGCTCTGTGGTCATATCTTCTCCCAGCTCATCCAGTTTGGCATATACGAGAGATAGTATTTCTTTCACTTGAGCATCTGTCATGTTGGCTGGTTCACTGGATGGCGCTTGTTGATTTTCATCTGTCTTTTTCACTGTTTTAATTATAATGGTTCTATCTGTTGGTGGCTTGGGAAATGAAAATCTACAGTTTTTGCCTGGTTTCCTGCATGAAGGAGAATGTACATGACTCTGAACTTTTTTTACCAATTCACAAAGCTCTTCATCATCTGTTGGTATATCACAGCTGACATACTGATCATGGAAATTTCTGATTTCTTCATCAGTGGAATTCTCAAAGTCTGGTGTTCCTTCCACCCAGAATGCCATATGTGCATGGGGAGATCCCCTCTGTTGAAACTCAATTCTGTACATGTACATGGTGACTTTCCCAACAGGCTGCTGTGGACTGAGAAGGACATTTTTGATGAACTGCTTTAGTCTATAATCAAAATGTCTTGCAATAGTAACTGGATTTTGTCTGATCCATCTGCATCTCTCCTCCCATGTCATGTCTTTTACATCCTGGTCTGTGAAATTGTGTCCATATTGTCTTCCTATTATCTGTATCCCTTCTGGCCATTGCAGATCTGCTGCTGAGAGTGTAATAAACCATGTGAATGATCCCAGCTGCTTAACACAGGCAAGTAGTTCTAACAACATCTTGTCAAAGTATGCTGGAGAACCTCTGATTTGAGTAAGGAATTTGTAGCCATGATCTTTCAGAATCAATGCTGATAGCTGTGATGGATCTTTTGCAAGTCCAGCATTCAATTTTGAAGATGAAGCCTTCCTCATGGCTACAGATATGGAACCATTGATGTGTTGAAGATCTCTAATGTGTTGTGCGTAAAAAATGTAATCCGAGTTGCGAGCAAATCTGCCATCTCTATGTAAAAGTCTGGCATTAATGTATCTACTGAGTGATAATTTAATTTTACGTTTTGTATCAAATCCAAATTTTCCATCTGGAAACAGTTTAGGGAAGGCAAGAACTTCATTGTTGTCATCGGTCAGAAGTGACACAGGAGTTTTTCCTTCACCAGGTGCAATTGATATAATTTCATTTCCTCTGTACTCTTGCTGAATACATGTATCATAAGCAATGCCTCTTGTTTGAGATATCTCTTCAGCATTCAACAAATCATCATCCTCTCCTGACCATTCATCATCGTCATTTCCTAAAGTACTGTGTTCATAAACTCCATCACTACTATGAGTATTGTCTTCCTCATTATGTGGGTCTGTTCTCTGATCAGGATTCCCACTGTCATCATCCACTGATTCATTCTTTTTAGTATGTGGCTCTGTCAGTCTTTCCCACAATGATGGATTATCTCCAGCGGCCAAATCTTTCCAATTTTCTAAGACAGGAACATCTTTGTAAAATTCATTGTTTTCCTTCAAAAACAGTAATGATGATATTACTCTGTCTGGAGATATATGCTGAAACTCAACATGACCTCTGTATTCTAGCTTTCTCTTCAGTTTGACTGGAATGAGTCCAGAGTTGGTGGGAAGTCTGGGTAACAAAGTACATGTCTGTGAACTATCCACAGGAACATTTACCACAGTGCCGTGTACAGCTTTTTGTCTTCCACGGGGTAGGGCAAGTATCTTCATGAATATGAGTCTTTGGGAAACTAGTCTGGCCTCAAAATCAGTTAATGATATCAAAGGTTCCTTGAGCTCAGTGAGGTGAAGTTCATTTACTGTTGCTTGTCCAGGTATTTTCTTCTTGTGCAGTGAAAGAATGCATGTTTTACATATGTAACTAATCTCTTTCTGATCAAAACACCAGCCTGGCAGTGCCTCATTCAAAACATCTGGATCAACTGTTTTGAACGTATTCTTGGTAATCTTATTTACAGTCTGTTCATAGAGAAGCCGATTACAACATATGCATACAAACGAGGGTCCAGATTTGATTTTGTGAAGGAATGTCTGATATGGATTTTGAAGGTTTAGTTTTTTATTTACTGATTTTCTCTGCTGATCCCTTGTTCTGATTTCATTTTTTTTCTCATTAGGTAAGTGTTCTCTTTTGTCCTGTTTTCTCTTTTTTTCAGATGCCTTCATGGTCTTCTTGATTTCTTCAGGTAAATGCTCTCTTTTTTCTTGTTTTCTTTTTCTATCTGATGTCTTTATGATTTCTTTGGTTTCTTTAGGTAAATGCTCTCTTTTGTCTTTTTTTCTCTTTTGATCTGAAGCCTTGATGATTTCTTTGGTTTCTTTAGGTAACTGCTCTCTTTTGTCTTTTTTCCTCTTTTGATCTGTAGCCTTGATGGTCTTCTTGATTTCTTTCGGTAACTGCTCTCTTTTGTCCTGTTTTCTTTTTCTTTCTGATGCCTTGATGAACTGCTTGGTTCCTTCAGGTAACTGCTCTCTTATGTCTTTCTTTTTGTTTCTATCTGATATTCTGACAGAGTCTCTCAAATCAGAAGGCATTTTTTGACGATAGTTGGACAGCCGTTTTCGCTCTTTTGCTTTTAAAATGGTTTTTTCTTTATCAGGTAAATTCCTTCTTTTGTCTTTTTTTCTTTTTCTATCTGATGTTTTTATGATTTCTTTGGTTTCTTCAGGTAAATGCTCTCTTTTGTCTTTTTTTCTCTTTTGATCTGATGCCTTGATATTCTCCTTGATTTCTTCAGGTAAATGCTCTCTTTTGTCTTTTTTTCTCTTTTGATCTGATGCCTTGATATTCTCCTTGATTTCTTCAGGTAAATGCTCCCTTATGTCTTTTTTTCTCTTTTGATCTGATGCCTTGATATTCTCCTTGATTTCTTCAGGTAACTGCTCTCTTTTGTCTTTTTTTCTCTTTTGATCTGAAGCCTTTATGATTTCTTTGATTTCTTCAGGTAACTGCTCTCTTTTGTCTTTTTTTCTCTTTTGATCTGAAGCCTTTATGATTTCTTTGATTTCTTCAGGTAACTGCTCTCTTTTGTCCCGTCTTCTGTTTCGATCTGAAGCCTTGATGGTCTTCTTGATTTCTTCAGGTAACTGCTCTCTTATGTCTCGCGTTTTCTTTTCTCTGAAGCCTGATGCCTTGATTTTTCAGGTAACTGCCCGTTTTCTTTTTCTTTCTGATGCCTTTACGTTCTCCTTGATTTCTTCAGGTAACTGCTCTCTTATATCCCGTTTTCTTTTTCGATCTGATGCCTTGATGTTCTCCTTTATTTCTTCAGGTAAGTGTTCTCTTTTGTCTTGTTTGCTTCTTTTATCTATGCCTTTTCTCTCTCTTTTCTGTTCATCTGACATTCCTTGTCTATACTTGGCCATTCTTTTCCTTGTTGATTCTTTTTTCCTCTTTGTTTTCCATTCATCTTTTGTTGTCTGATCTGTTTCCGACTGCTGTGATGTCGAATGGAAATCTTTTTCATTTGCGGGGTCATTAAAACTATCAGTAGAAATTTTTTTTTCTTCTTTTTGATCAGTCTGCTTTTTACCATCTTGCATCATGGTAGGATCATACTTTTCTTCAGTGTCTGCTTTTAGCTTTGTATCATACCCCATCTCTGTATCTTCATTAGTTCTTTGAGTGGCATACAATCTCATTTGCTGTAATCTGGACCGATAGCTCTTTCTTTTACCTTGTTTTGGCATATTTATTGACTCTAAAAAAGTAGGGAAAAATAACTAAAATTTCAAAATACATGTATGACAAGCCCAAGGGGTTGAATGGCAATGATCAAGGGTGAACAATATGGAAAATTTGGTACTCAGTAGCAAATCATAGAGTACATCTATTTCATTGCTCAGCTGATACTTGCCATTACTAACTACAGTCACATTTGTCACTCACTGGTCAAGCAGAAAACCCATCACATTCCCTCTAAGACTTGGACTCCTTAAATAACATTTATGCATAATGATCTATCATCTATATCTTTAAATATCTAATATCTATTATATACAGGTCTATCTTACCATTAAACATGATAAATGCTATGAAGAGTTTTAGCATTTTACATTAAAACTTGTACATTTTTTTTAATTGACCTATAAATTGCATTAAAAAGTGATTAATCATAACAGATGAATAGCAAAGGGTAATAATTTATCTCTAAAGAGTATAAACTTTCCTACAATGTCAAAAGAAGACTTCCCAGCAACATAATACTTGATCTGATGGTCCAAAATTTCAGAAATCTAGTAAATAATATATTGCTAGTTAGAATTCCAAATGATCAACATGTACCTATAAAATGTAAAAGGCCAGGAAGGCCAACAATAGGTTAGGTTTCCCACCTGCTTACTACTGCAATTTTCAAGAAGTATTTGCAAACTGAAGACAGCAAACTGATGATATTAGTATGAATACAGTTAATTTTCATATATAAGTAGGTCGAACTCCAAGGTCAACGTTGACGGGTAATTTTTTTTTTGTATTTCAAGGAAGGTCTTGTTAGGAGGATTATATGTGTAAAGTATGAAAGCCCTTGAACTTACCATGGAAAAGTTATGGCCACTTTAAAGTTTTTTCAAAGTTAGCACTTGATTTTTAAAAAAAAAAATGCTAGCAATACCAATCCGTTTTAATATTTTATTACTAATACAGCTCTCAATACTGTAGATCACTAAATATTTTCGCGAGATAGTCATTGATTCTTGATAAGAGGAAAGAATTATGGTTATTGCTCTATATAATCTTAAGGAATACTATTATACGCAAGAATTTAATTTTTGCGAGCACAATATCTCATGTAATTACGCGAAAATAATTAAAGTTCTCGCGAATAAAAAGTGATAGACAGTACGTCACCTGGGCAAAGTGGAATTTTAGATTTGCAAATTTATCCAAATAATTTTTATTTCAACAACAAAAAGTTCACAACAATCAAAAGTTATGGGCAAGTATGGAGGTTTATATGCAAAATATCTGATTAAAGCCCCATATTGGCTTTATATACCACAAATAAAAGTTTTACTTGTTTTCTATAATACATTCTTGGACATGGGATAGCCAGTAAACATTATGATGTCATAATATGACATCATCTTCCTCTACTGCTTAAGTTTGTCAAGAACATCAACACAAGAACATCAACACATCGCTCACCTGAGCACTATGGCTAGGAAAAAGTCAAAATTGGTTTATTATTGAAAAGTTAAAATTTTGGCCCCGCCCTACCCCCGGGGGGTCATGATTTGAAGAAACTTGAATCTTCACTACCTGAGGATGCTTTCATATAAATATGATGAAATATGGCTTTGCTATTCTTGAGAAGAAGATTTTTAAAGAATTTTCCAATATATTTCTATGTAAAACTTTGGTCTGCCATTGTGGCCCCGCCCTACCCCCGGGGGTCATGATTTGTACAGACTTGAATCTACACTACCTGAGAATGCTTCCATTTAAATATGATGAAAAATGACTTTGTCATTCTTGAGAAGAAGATTTTTAAAGAATTTTCCTATATATTTCTGTGTAAAACTTTGGTCGGCCCTACCCCGGGGGGCATGATTTGAGAAGAAGATTATAAAAGAATTTTCCTATATATTTTTATGTAAAACTTTGGTCAGCAATTTTGGCCTCTCCCTACGTTATGATTTGAACAAACTTGAATCTACACTACCTGAGGATGCTTCCATATAAATATGATGAAAAATTGGTTCGTCTTTCTTGAGAAAAAGATTTTTAAAGAAATTTCCTTTATATTTCTCTGTAAAATAGTTCCGAATGTAAACATGGCAGGTAAATTTGAAGCGAGAGAAAAACGTTGAGAAAATTAATTGGATTTTCGTATTTATATGGATTATTTTTGGGATAAAAGGCATAAGCAATCTCAAAGGTTTGTTTTGATTAAATTGGTAGTTATTTCCAGTGCAATTCATTTTATATTCGTCAAAATCATTTCAGAGCGGATCCGCTCCGATTTGCTACATTGCAAGTATATGGGACATATTCACACTGTGGTGAGGGCTTGTACCGAGACACAGTTAGATTATTCTAATTAGCATATTACCAGTATGTTTGTAACATTTGCATGAAATAAAATCTTTCCTAGTTTTTACTTTACTCTTGTGTTACATCAAATTGTGGCAAGATATCCTACCACAGGCGAATTATTCAGATTTAAATGTTTTTTTTCCAATGAAATTAGTAAGCAGGAAAACAGTATTCACCCTTAAAAATGTGGGCAGGCCCAGTATAATCACTAGATTTAGCTACGTAGGTAGAATTACCTATGTAGCCTTATATTACCTATCTCAGGAAGCTTTATTTAGCTATTTCAATATAACTATACTTACTTTACAAAAGTTTTCTTTTTATTAAAAACAGACAAAAAATAGCAATTAAATGACTATTGATATTTAAAGTAAAGAGGCTTAAAAAAAAAAATCCAAAGCAGAGATAGTTTATACATTACTGCGTTTGGACAATTTTGAGCAAAACATGTAATTCCATTGTTTGGTTAATTGTCCTCTCTCATGCGTGTGGTGAGACATGGCTGAGTATTACTTCACATTGTGCTGAATTATTACCAACCTATTATCGTGTTAACCGGAACTGGAATTTTTTATTTCATTCAAGACATAACTGTTCTAACTGTCATGCATAGCCCCAAAACTTTCAGAACTTTGTTTGCAATTGTGCAGAAAAATACACAGGTCCAGTTCAAAGACTATTTCTACCTATGTAGCTATTAATAGCTATGTAGGTATTTAAACCTACCCAAAGTAGCTATTTTTTTTACCTACTTTTGGTATCATCTACATTTTGTGGCGAAATGACTGAACGGCACAACATGGTGAATACCATAATTTTTGATACAGTCACACTAATGATGAATAAGACAAAATTTTGACCAAAAATTGATTACTTCCTGAATCGGAAATTTTACATTAGTTTCTATGCAAAATTGATAATATATGAAGTAGTAATCATTTTTTGGCCCAATTTTTGTCTTATCCATCATCAGTGTCACTGTATCTAGAAATTCAGTGCTGACCATGTTTCGCTGTTCCTGCATTTGGCCACAAAATGCAAGTAAACAGAAGTAGGTAAAAAATAGGTACTGTATAGGGGGAAAATAACTCGTGGTGTTAATATTCGCTATATTCACGGTGTTAACAAATCCGTGAATTCAAGAAACAGTGAATAAATTTACAATAATCTCCATGTTTTATTTGGAAAATTGAGAATAGACTACGATAGATTTATATAGGTGTTCGTGCAGTCCATGGTCATTTCAGTAATTGCGAAAAGTACTGTCATTCAATTAATTTTAAATATCACGCTTTACTTTAATTCAAATCGGCAGATAATAATTTGTGTTTGTTCAAAAGCTGATTTAATAGCCAACGCTACATGTTTCATCAATCAAAACATGTGGGCCATGGGTTTTGATTACCTGTGCGTAACTAAATAATGTTACCACATGTATTTGTTACCTGCATTCTCATGCATATTAGTTCATGTAGTTTTTATCGACATTTTAGTTTTAAAAAATCATTCAAATAAAAAATCGAACTTTCCGACGAAGGAAGTGTGGAAGGATATTATTTCCTAGAACTACATAAAAAGTTTTGTTTCCGTCCAGTAGTTTTTCGCTGCGCTGTATTGAAGATCTCGGGTGCACATGCACTCATTGGAATAACATATAGGAAAGTCATTTAACGTTTAGGAACTATATTAACTGCACTTGTGTTAATCATTTTTAAAATCTAACAATTTTATAATAACTTACCCTGTTGTTCCTGAAATAAAGACATAACGCTGATTAATATCGTTTACATTTAGCTATGGTATGGATTAAATGGAGACAAGGAAAGTAACTTTTATTACATACCAAATTCAACGAATTCAAGAAACCGCGATCGTGTCAAATGAGAAAAAAACGTGAAAATTACAACCCGTGAAATTAATCCCCTATACAGTACTTTGGGTAGGTTTAAATACCTACGTAGCACATGTATTAATTGCTACGTAGGTAGAAATAGTCTTTGGACTGGACCTGATACATTGTTCCAAGAGAGATTTTTTCATGATTTGTTTTAAGATGAGTTCAAAGTTGCATCACAATAATATTTTCTGCACACCCTAAAAAATGCTTTTTATAGAAATAAATTGATATGGTAGCTAAATAAAGCTATTTAGGTAAATCAAGCTACGTAGCTAAATCTAGTGATTGTACCAGACCTGGTGGGGACTGATAAATGCTGCCATTGAAAGCTGCCTTCACTATCAAATAAAATTAGTAAACAGAAAAACAATCTTCGCCGTGTTAAGTGTGGGTAATGATAGGCTAAATGCTAGTGTGGAAAACTGTTGTCACTGTGTGATCACCTTCGAACACAGTATTCATCCTTTGAACGCCGCCGTCACTATCAAGTAAAATTAGTGAACATAAAAACAAGCTTCACCGTGTAAAATGTGGTGTAGAAAACTATGGACTGATGGGCTAAAAGAAATGCTGGAGAGTGATCACCTTCGACACCACGGAAGCCATTTTGAAGAGTGTTGGTAAAATGGGACCAAATGAGAGGGCAAACCCAGGCCGGGGCAAATAAAAAATTGGAACAGAAGAACCCAAAAGAACCCTAAAGAAACATAATCTAATAATTTCAGATAAAATGGTGGAGTTTTACCGAAGATATTT